TATATGGTGAATACATTGTGAATATTATAAACTTTATGTATTATTTAGACCATTATAAAATATTGAACTTTAAACCTTTGAAAAAGAGGCTGACAATAGTGACAGAGTTTCTTGCGCTGCTTCTTCTCAGCACTGGCCCATTTGTGTCCTGAAGCAGTGGTAGGGTTAATACTGGGACGTGTAAAAGTGCTTTTTATAAGCCTATTTAAAGAAATAAATGAGTTTTATGAGTTTTTTTTATTGTGATTTCCTTTCTGTTATACAAGAATGGTCTGTAGTTTCAATTACAATAGAATTGGAACTTATAAGATTTTTATAAGACCAACCAAAGTGGAAATAATTGAGGAAGAAATAATTCAAAGAAAAAGAACTCTATGAGAAGCCAGTGATTTATCAGGATTGTGAACCTGGTCATAAGAGAATCGATTCAGAAAGAACAAAACCATCACCTACAGAATAAACAAAATACTAAATATATCTAAGTACCGACATCAACCACAATTATTATTGTTTGTATGAATAAAAACATTTATTTTGTTAAAATTCTTGTTAATACTCTGATAAACAACAAGACAAGACAACCCAGACGCACATACGACAAATAAAGTAAAATTTAAACCAAATTAGAACGAAATCGATTCATTTGGAGTTTCTACCCCTACCCTCCGACCATTCAATAAAATTAACTTGAAGCCCTTTAATAAAAGGTTACGAATTCCAAGTAAATGCAACTTCCACGCGTGCATTTTACGTTATTTGTGATAAACCTTGACAAAACCAAGACAACACCTCAGAAAAATCCAACGAATTCCATGATTTGCAGATTTTCTAGATCTCAAGTAGGAACAAACGAACATGATGTTAAACGACACAAGAGGTAATTCAGAAATATTTCCCAACGGTAACAATAGGAACTGTTTTTGAAAACCATTTTTACAAACACCAAGATAGATCAAATACAATAAATTAGCGAATCTGCGATTCCAACAAGAATCACAATCAAACAAGACCCAGAACAAAAAACAATGGCGATTGACCGGTAGATTTGTCTATGGTAGCGGAGCCGGCTGTCAGGCTGTCATAGACAATTATTAGTGATGACCGCATGTCTGAATCGAGGACTAATTTTGACGATTCATTAATCTTTAAATTCTAATGGTTAAAGTCTTGCAGAAATTATACCGGTAAGTCGTGACAGTTATTTCAAAATTAAAGGCAAGTCTTTCAGACATTAAAACGTTTGTGGTTTGACCCTATAGTTGTGATTCAAATATAATATAATTATAGCTCGTTGGTTGAGAGTTAGACGCTAGCTACCACAGATAACACAGAAAAAAATTAAAGCTGTCATGTCATTGTCAAACAAAAATCTTGTTTTGTTTGTTGTTGTTTTACTTTTACACGTATTTTTATATAAATATTGTACAATGGACAGTGAAAATGCAGAAAGAGAGTTATTGCTACCTCACCACGAACAACAGTCGCTGTGTACCACGCGTTTGCCGTATAGACAAGGCCGAAAATTAACTGCTGTTAAGGTTTGTTTAATTTCGATATAAACACCCTTTTTAATCAAGAAAATATGTTGTAAAAGGTATACGATTCTTAAATTTACATCAAAAGTTCGTTGTGTAATTATAGAAATAATTTTGTGTGAAAATAATATACAAAGTGGTGAATTTAAGATCTTCCTCATTATTTTATTCTATCATACCACATAGGTCCTTCTTACCTTCACTGATGACTGTTAAACAGTATTATCTAACTACAGACAGAACTCCGTTGCTGTCTTGCTCCTCCAACTGCTAAAAGCCAACTTTTTTGATGCTTACTTACATTGGATACTTCTTTTCAGGTATACACTGTCAATAACGAGTCCAATCACCTGCTAGTGTTTGGAGTGCCATCCCTAAACCTTCGCCAGGAAGCCAAAGCGTTATTCGCAAAGTTTGGTAAACTTTTGCAATTCAACATCAGCAAAGATCATGCGGCTGAAGTGTTTACGGAGACGTACTATGTTTTGTTCGAGAAGATACAGTCGGCAAGACTAGCAAAACGTATGTTAGACACGAAGAATTTCTACGGAGGCTCTCTGCACATTTGTTACGCACCTGAGTTGGAAGATGTCAGTGAAACCCGCAGCAAATTGTTGCAGCGTCAAAAAGATGTAATATTCCGGCTAAGAAATCTTCAAAAACCAACAAATATTAAGAAACCATTACTTGAAAAAGTTACAGAAATGACTGTTGAACATGTTACAGCAGATGATACCAAAAAATTAAACATGGGTGATATTAACACTATAAATTTAGAAAATAATACCCTGAAAAGGAAGAAAAATCAACCAAAGCAAGCTCAAGAGAAACATTACAAACCCTGTTTTTTACCGAGTGATTCCAAAGCTTCCAAATTGAGTAAAAAGTCTAGTAAGAATCACAATAATGATGTTAAAGAACAAAGTAATTTAAAAAATAGTGACTTTAGACTACATAATGATATAGAAATAATAGATTGTACTTCAGCGGACTTGGAAACTGTTACTAACATTAACGAAAGCCCCCAAGACTTAGGCAATATTGAAATAGACGGACAGAGCAATAAAATAAGTTTAAATGATCAATTGAATTATAATAATTTTGGTAATGAAGATATAAGAAAAGTCCCCTCCAAATCTGTAAATAAGATTAAGTTTAGTTTAAATAAAAGATAATTGTTATTAACTAGCTTTTTATTTAAAATTCTACAATGTGTTGGTATAAGATCATCATCATTTCAGCCACTGGATATCCACTGCTGAACATAGGCCTTCCCCAATGATTTCCATAGTGACCTGTTGGTAACGGCCTGCAAGCCTGGCAGCCTGTAGTCATAAGTGTGGTATAAGTTACATGTACTGTTACTAACATTAACGAAAGCCCCCAAGACTTAGGCAATATTGAAATAGACGGACAGAGCAATAAAATAAGTTTAAATGATCAATTGAATTATAATAATTTTGGTAATGAAGATATAAGAAAAGTCCCCTCCAAATCTGTAAATAAGATTAAGTTTAGTTTAAATAAAAGATAATTGTTATTAACTAGCTTTTTATTTAAAATTCTACAATGTGTTGGTATAAGATCATCATCATTTCAGCCACTGGATATCCACTGCTGAACATAGGCCTTCCCCAATGATTTCCATAGTGACCTGTTGGTAACGGCCTGCAAGCCTGGCAGCCTGTAGTCATAAGTGTGGTATAAGTTACATGTACAAAAATATTAGTATTGTAGACTTTCTATCTACAGGATGTCCCAAAATTAGCACGGTACAGACACTGGAGGTAGCTGAGCCGAGGAGGCATTGAACAAGCCAAAATGTCCATAAAAAAGTTTCATGAGTTTTGAGATGACCAATTTTCATAAAACTTGTTCGATACCTCTTCAGCTCGTATACCTCTGGTGTCAAAGTTACGTGCTAATTTTAGGACACCCGTATTTTCAAAACCCCTGTGCCTTCCTTGCTGCCTTCGGACACCACACCTGTAAAGATAAAAGCGATTTATTTTTTCTCATTACAGTGAAACTACTATTACTACTATTCTCACCATATTATCTAGTTTTATAAAAGCGCTTTCTATGGGTATTTCGCCAAAAATGGTCAATTTTGCCTAATTTCCTTGGCACGAATTTTATTTTTGTTTTTAACTATTTTTAGTTTCCCATTGCATTAAGTAGTAAAAACTAAGCTAATATATCTAGAAGGGGTGTCATAATTCGTTTTAGAAACAAAGTTATGAGGTCATAAATTTTTGGTAGCCAAGGAAATTATTATAAATATTTTTTTCTCTAAGTTTTCTTCTGTGGTTTGCTTTTTTTTTGTTCGACCTATTTTTGTGTACTTTCGCAAGCAAACATGCCAATGAATATTATATCATTACGACCTTTTTACACAACTAAGGAAGATAAATGCAGTAGATTGAGTTAAAAGTTAAAAACAAGTTTTTCTATATCTATTCTGATACCTATTTCTTAAAATGTAAATTTTAAACTTATTCCAATAAAGAAATACTCAAAATTTGACTTTACGCCGAATTATTAATGGTCTTTTATAATTTCCTAGGTCATTTTATGCCACGGAAAACAAGGAAATTAGGACCAAAGAAATTAGATTTATGCCTAAAAGACACCACAGACAAAAACCTATTTACCCTATGCATTTACTATTTAAATCATGGGTTTACCCCTACAGATACTACATTTGTGTAAATAAACAATAAAATTAATCCATTGTTTATTTGCAAAAAACCGTCCAAAGAAATTGACTTTTTAGTAAACAAAAACCCAAGGAGGGACCTATTTATGCGATTTGTCGCGAAACTGATCAACGACGTACTGTCCTGCCTCAATGGCCTCTTGGGACGAAATGGCCGAGTGTAGTGGTGCAGTGCGTTACATTCCAAGTTTTTTTGTTTCGTTACAACAATGGTCGAAACGAAGACCCAGGGAAATTATACTTTTGACCTGGACAAGAACTTAACTTCACTTTATTTTCTTCCTATAAGTATTTGACATTTAAAGTTTTTATTTTCCGATAGCCAAACGTTTCTCAAATGTAAAGAGAGTGCTATTAGAATTAAATTACGCTTCAATTTGTTATAATGAGCCTTCATTTTGGCAAACAACAGTAATGGACATAACAAGGAAATTAGAAAAACGACTTTTGATTAAGTTTTTCTACGGTATTATTTGTAGTTTCTTCTATTGTAATAGCAAAAACAAATAAAACTTTTGATGAACTTTCCCATAAAAATAGTTTTATACAGATATATATAAAAAAACATGTGTTCGCCTGCCTGGACACAGAAAATTTACTGTTTCGGCGAAATACCCCTATACAAATATTGAACTAAGATTTTTTTTTACCAATAGAACTTTGAATCGAAAAACCGTAAATACGAATACCATCATCACTCGTTTGATGAAACAGTTCGATTATACAATTCAGTGACATCACTACCCACTGTCACTGTCATTTCCTACATTCAGTTGTTTGTTATTGTCGACATAACCTATAAACCCCACGTGAATTTGTAATTTTGTGATAATATAAATGGCAGATTGCTTGTAAAATGCCCAAACTTCACATAGATGAGGTCTACCCTAAAGACTCTACCTATCAAATGGTAGTAAACTTCCAAAATGGGTACACAACTGAGAAATTTAAGTCGAAAAGTTGTTTGCTGCTCAAAGACAAGTTTAATGGCGAAAAATCTGTTGTTACTGAGGTGTCCGGGCTCGTTTATGCTGGAAAAGAAGAGCAAGAAGATCTAGGGAAGACGTTGATACTGGCGAGGAATAAAATCACTGGGAAAGTGCGAGTCATTGAAGTGGGAAATGTGGAATTGAAACCATACGTAAAGCAAAATAGCGATCAGAGTGTCATAGGTTTAGACAACAGTAAGCTTGAGTTAAGTAGGAAATTTGGGTCTAAGAAGCAAAAACAACACATGGAGCAGAAGGAGAAGCTTAAAATCAACGTTCAAACTGTCACCGAACAAATGCAGAATGTTACGGAAAGTGTGACAGAGGACCAACTGGATATATCGTCTTATATCAAAACTGATTCGGATGATTTCTACATACCGCCCATTAATCGACAGGCAACATCGGCTAGAGAAGTGTATGACATGTACAAAATACTAAGCGAAGATGAGTATGAAAGAATTTACAACGAAATAAAAGATAGCGATTATATGGAACAGATTCAACCGTGGATAAGAGACATGATCGCAACGAAGGATCTATCAAAGGAACACACCGTTTTAGTTGTATATGCGAGTACGTTATTAAAATTATTCAGCACTACAATGAGAGATATCGTTAAAAAGAATTATGTTGCGTACTCATTATCGCCTACATTAAACGATATCCTTCTCAAGAACTTCACGACGTTTTCCAACGGCAAACGGAACCGACCGATGCCATATAAGGATAAAACTTTCTGCCATGTATTAGTGTTCCTGCTTATCGTTAATAATTTCAAATGTGATATAGATGAATTGAGTAAACACATGAAATACAGCGCCAAGACTATGATGACGAAGTTTCGAGTTATCGGAGCGACTGTAGTGACGATGGGTGATAAGAAAATAGCACAGCTCAAGCTACCGTTGGCAACAGTGACGAATATGAGGCGGAAAAGCGCGAAGTTTTGATGTTCACAAATATATGACTATGTTACTGTTACTTTGGTGTTTTATTGTATCAGTATAATTTGGAAAATCAATCAGCTGCTATATTCGCCTATGATATACATATATGATAGCTTACAGCAGCCGTTTTTAACACAATCGGCGTCAAATAGTATACCTAAAGTAGCCAAAAAGTTCGTTACATGTCTTTGTTAAAAGGAATTATCCTTTTGTACCCTTTGCACCACCGGCCTGCACCACTGGTGGTGCAAAGGGTATTTTTAAATCCCTCTTGCACCACCAACAAATAGTGCTGTGCTACCATCGACTGTAAAACTAGTAGTAGACTGTAAAATACTTAATAATTTACTTGTTATAAATAAATCAAAACCTACCTAAAAGTTTTAATTTGTGTGTGTGTAAGTGCCTATAAACATTTCACTTCAGACCCACGATACCCCGGGCCTACATCCTACATACAACGAATAAAGTACCAGGGCAACATAACCATAAAGGAGCTATTTTATGATACATGTTTATTTCTCGGATCAACCAAGAAGAATTTGATATAGCTCCTTTATGATTATGTTGCCCTGGTAAGTACTTTAGGAATTATTCGTTGTATGTAGGTATGAATGGTTGTTATTAATTTTTATGTTATGTTGTCAAATCTGTCCAGTAGTTTCGGAGCCTATTCAGTACAAACAATCAAATCTTTCCTCTTTATAATATTAATATTATATGATTATAGATAATCGTTTTACAGTTAATGGTAGGGCGGCACTATTGGTGGTGCAAAAGGGATTAAAAAATACCCTTTGCACCACCAGTGGTGCAGGCCGGTGGTGCAAAGGGTACAAAAGGAAAATTATTAGCATAAGGTTGTGTTGTCAACGTTGGCCAAAAAGTAGTTCGACAACTATTATTTGACGCTGACTGTACGAGTGGCAACATGGGTCAGTTATAATTTCGGAATGCCTTCATAGAGCGAAATAACGTGATACAGAAAAACGCTAAAGCGTACAGTGGCGGACTTAATACTATAACCGGTTCGCTACCAGAGCCCCGATTACGGTAATTTTTAACGTCAACAATCCAGACACGCTTCTCGATTCTGCGATACGATTGGTCGTTCAACAGCGTACGTCAGCTGTTTTGACCAATCGTATCGCAGAATCAGAAACGCGTCTGGATTGTAGACGTTATAAAAGTTACCGTAATCGGGGCTCAGTAAAGCAATAATTACAACTGTCTTGTTTTGCCACTACTATACAGGGTGTTGAAGTTGGGTTACCTACGCCATATCGAATGACAAATGATCGAAAATCATAATATCGAATACGTTTCATCGAACGATCAAAATATCGAATGCTCAAAATATCGAACGTTCAGAATATCGAACGATCAAAATATCGACAGTCGATATAGACGTTTTTATTAAATTTCATCTACCTTGCTCGGCTCTGGTGCATGGTTGTGTTTGGTCATACAACTTTTCAACAAATGTTCCTCGGCTCCTTGCCGAAGGTAGATGAATTAAATAAAAACGTCTTTATCGACTTTCGATATTTTGATCGTTCGATATTTTGATCGTTCGATATTCTGAACGTTCGATATTTTGAGCATTCGATATTTTGATCGTTCGATGAAACGTATTCGATATTTTGATTTTCGATCATTTGTCATTCGATATGGCGTAGTAGGTAACCCGTTGAAGTTACCTATTTATCTAGCTTTATTTTACTGAATAATAAACACAATTTGTGATATGTTATTTATTGGAAGAAATAGTATAGGTACAAAATGAGTATAATGCTGGTAAATAATTTTTAGAATACAAAACTATTCTTATACATAATAATAGACTAATATATTATTATAAAATACACTGGGTTTAAATGATAGATTAATCAGACCTTTCAGAGGGAAATAAATCTTGTGACATCAACAACACAGTTCATAATTTTAACCGTCAGCCTAGGTGCAGAACACAGACTTATAGTTGGGCCCTATTCTAATTTGTATGAAGAATCGGCCGATACTAAATCGGTGTAGTGTGCGCACTTCCTATGTTCATAGTGGTCAACAATCGGCCAACTGAAAGTCGGTGGTCTGCGCCTTAGCTAAAAGTTTCTTGATAAAGTTGTAACATAACATACCTATTTATTACCTACTCAAAGTGACAATACATTATTATACAAATATCGTAGAATAAAAATGTTTTTTTATTACACAAATATTCATTATACATGATATTATTTTTTATTTACAGACTTCACTTAAACCGGCGTCACACATTAGGCACATTAGCTATAAATTATTAAAGTCAGATTCCATATACCAACCAATGCGTAGATCGGTCTTGGCATTATGTTTATGATCAATATCTGACCCAAAACTGACATTTCCCCACACATTTAACTTTCCCCCGGGACAAACTTGACCTTCATTGGTTGGGTTTTTATGGCAGTCAAGCTGTATATCCTGGCTACACAGGAGTTGCAGCGGTGGGAACGAGAGGTGGGAATAGTCCCGTTTGACCTACACATTGGTCAATTGGTGTTAGTCATCGTCATAATTTCAGTCAAGACGTCTACTGCTGAAATAAAATATCCTTGGACATGGTTATAGCAAGGAATCGTACATCTCACTGTTTTCTTAGATTTTAACGTAATAAGTTAGGTACTTACTTTGGAGATAAAGTCCGGTCGCCGAGCACATAGAATTTCGTCCAATGACCCCAAGCTACCCATCCTTGTCGCTCGCGCGTAATTACATTACTGTCGCGACAGTGCGTTTATGTAGTTTATATTGCTGTCGCGACATTCTATCTGCTCGGCGACCGGACTTTGGTACTTATTACTCCACGTCGAGATGGTAAATAAGGTTCCAGCTCTTGTATGAGGTCACACACACACACACTTATTTAGGCGAAACAGTCCGACGAACTCGCGCTCCGGTATTTCGAAGGCTATTTCCAAGTTCCGAAGAGCCATAATTCGTCGACGATGTAAAATACTCTCCATAACACGGGCGAACATTTCTTCATATTCCTCGGTTCCTCACTGATGAGACACATACATAATATAGTGTTCCTCCATAAAGCCCGGTCTGTGAGCACGTAGAATTTTGTCCAATGACCCCAAGCTACCCATCCTTATCGCTCGCGCGTTATTATATTGCTGTGCGTATAGAATGGCTGCTTGGAATGCCGAACATAGGCTTCCCCCAATGATTTCCACATCTCCCGTTTGGTAGTGGCTAGCATCCAACGCCTTATTTACCTTCATGAGGTCGTCGGTCCACCTTGTGGATGCCCCACGGTGTATTGGATCCGAGAATATAATGTGGAGCCAATATGCATACCCAATGTGTGACGCCAGTATTAAAAACTAAGGCCTAGTTTCTAAAATGAGATCTAAGTATGAACTTTTCATTAGCTAAATAATCATCATTGAGTAGAAGATTGACTTCAAGCTTGAAATCTCAAATTAGATACCGGGCCTAGCCGTTAGCTTGCTGTTATACAGGGTGTAAAATTATTACATATATTCAATAACTAGCTGTGCCCGCAACTTCAAAAAACGGAAACTGCATCTTAGCCTATGCAGGCTACAGACTTTTTTCAGCCGTTAGTTTGGTCGCCTTTTAATTTGAATGAGGAATCGGCCGACACAAAATCGGTATAGTGTGCTCAATTTTATATAGATTACCTGCCCAATTAAACTATCTATCAGCCAACAAAAAGTTCCACGTATAGAAAAAGTCCGGTCGCCGAGCATTTAGAATTTCGTCCAATGACAAGCTACCCATCCTTGTCACTCGCGCGTAATTAAATTACTGTCGCGATTGTGCGACGGGCGGCCGCAGTGAGTGTGAGAGTGCGAGATCATTATAATTACACGCGAGCGATAAGGATGGGTAGCTTGTCATTGGACGAAATTCTAAATGCTCGGCGACCGGACTTTACCTAGCTCCGCAACGTATAAATTCTAAGGAGACACCGGTTCAGTCTTTACAAACATTTCTTCATCTACAATTTCTTCCTTGATATCACTTGTCGTACTTTCCGGTTCCATTATTTCATGCAAAGACCCAAAGCCCGCGAAAGACGTTTCATCATCGCTCATTTCTGTGGTGCACAGCTCACTGAGAATCATTTTACCCTTTCCAGCGTCATCATTGACCAGTTTATACCTTTGGATGTAATACTCCAACGAGTTATATGAAGCCAGACAAGATTCGCATTTAAATATAACAGACTCTTTCGAATGCTTCAACTTCTGATACAGATTAAAGTGCTGATCGTCGTTGAACTTTTTTATACATTCTTCGCAGTCTACATTAAAAATTCGACGTCGAGAACCAAAAGTAGCAAGTTCGTCGACGTCGAATTCGTCGTGGAACTTCTTAATGTGTCTTTTCAGAGTCTTTCTAGTGCTGAAGTCTTTTATGCAGATAATGCAACGTGGCAGGATCTTTTCCTTCATATTAGGCACGACGTTCACGTGGCACAACTCGTTATGTTGCTCAAACTTCTCTTGGCCTTTGAACACCAAATTGCAGACCTCACATTTGTAAATCTCATCCTCGGCCAAGTGCTTCGTTTGCAAATGAATCGTGAGCGCTTCTTTCGAACTGAACGATACTGAACACAAATCACAAGGAAATGTGTTCATGTTGAACGAATGCAACAGTTTCAGATGGATCTTGCACGATTTGGCCGATTCGAACCTCTTATAGCAAATGTGGCACTGCGGAAACGTCACCGAGTTTGGATGCTTGGTTCGCACGTGTTTCCTGAGACTGCGTTTCTCTTTAAACAGCGTCTCACACTCGATGCATTTGTACCTCTGCATGCCGAGATGCGTGTACTCAATATGCCTGCGGATATTCCTTTTAGATTTGAATTGTTTCTCGCAGTAGTCGCATTTCGACCACGAATCGTTGTTGTGCACGATTTTTATATGCGACGCTAAATAATATTTGTTGCTGCATATTTTTCCACAGTATTCACACTCCATTGCCTCATCTGTGGTGTGTTTTAGCTTGATATGATGCTTCAGCGATCTGTCGCTGTAATAAATTCGGTCGCAATGCTTGCATTTATACGAATTGCTGTCGGTTGAATCCTCTATGTTCGTAGATGTGATATTTGAATCAGCAATTTGAGCTTGTGGGTGGAAGATTCGTGTGTGGAACTCTAAGCTGGATATATCTGTGAATAGCTTGTCGCAGTGGCTGCAAGGGTTTACGTTCGCCGGCGGCAGACATATCTTCTTGTGATTCACCATCGATTCTTTGCTGTAGAACTTATTGAAACAGACGTTGCACGTGGACAGAGAATATTCTTTGTCATGATTGATCCTCATATGGTCTTTGAATTCGTAGACGCTGCCAAATGAGTTGTTGCAGTACTCGCAGTTATAAAACACAATGTTTTTGCTCTTAGACTTATTCATTTGCTTCAGTAGCGACTTCTTGCAGTACTTATAAAAAGCTTTGAACGAATGTTCGTTTTTGACATGCCTGCGCAACTGAGATTCTTCCTCAAACGTTTTCGAGCAGGAGACACATATGAACTCGTGCGATTTGCTAGAAACCACATCGCTGAAGTCCACAGAGTTGGAATCTTGTTTGTGGAAGAAGGACGTGTGACTTTCTAAGTTCTCTTTACCGTATAGAACTTTGTTGCAAAACTCGCACGTGTATTCGTCATTATCGGTGGTGTAATGTCGAGTACGGATGTGCCTTCGTAAGCTCTGGTTAGACGTGTAAACTTTAGGGCATATATCGCAACGAAATTCCCCTTTCTCGCCATGGTACATTTCGATGTGTCGTTTCAGATTTCTGTTGTTAGTGTACACTTTAGCGCATAAATGGCATTTTATAGACCCTTTTTCGGAGATGTTATGCGTCGCTTGAATATGGGCGATCAGGGAATGCTTCCCTTTGAAGACCCGATTACAATCATTGCATGTAGGATACTGAACATCAGGGTTATGGAATTGGTTCATATGCCGTTTCAAATTCCACTCTGTAGTGAAAACTTTCTCGCAGAGCCCACAGCGGATCCCCTGGCTTGTGTTTTGGAGGTGTACGGTGATCATGTGGGATGTTATGTTTTGTTTTCGGGCGAAGATGTTTCCGCAGATGTCACATTCTGGGGACGGTTGGCCGTAGCGGTTGTGGCCGCGAGATAAATGGAGCTGTAGTCCGGCTGGACTGCCGAAAGTCTGGTTGCATATCTCGCAGTGGCAGGACGCTGAGAGGTGACAGTTCTCGATGTGAGTTTGCAAGTTGTACTTCCTGGTGAACGCGCGACTGCAGTAATCGCAGACGAAATCTAGAAGGTTTTGATACATGATGTAGCTTACTTAGGTTTTTGAGTGTGTTACCTGGAACAAAGAAACATATGTTTAGTTGTGTTACCAATTTCACGCAGTCCAGTCTCGCAATTTATGAGCCTGTATTGCAAGGATGCAAATTGAAGGAAGACTCCAAAAAAATCCAGTTATGGAGGTAACAGTGGTAACTATAGGGTGGCAGGACTGGCAAAATGCCACGGGCCCCCGACCTGAGGGGGCCAAGCTAATCGCACCCCTCACGATGATCTCGGGGCTCCCTGAAAAATAAACGCTAGATACGCCAAGGGCCCCATGCACAGAATTTGCCACGGGCCTCAGATGGTATAGTTACGCCACTGGGAGGTAACTTGTTTCAAACTATGTGTATTGATTTTTCACAACAACTTGAGGTATTGAATATGGATGTAAGGTAAGTCAATTTTTTTTTTGTTTAAGAAAAAATGTATTGAATTTACATCAAAGGTTAACTTGTTAATTATTTCGACATAGAAGGTTGAGATTTCAATTAAAGGAGGTTATGGGCTTGAAAGAAAGGGAACACCACATTTTATCAAGCTACTGAAGTTTTTGACTAATCAAGGTTCTACTGTATAGTAACTTTTGTCTTATCACCAGCTCTGTACGAAGTTGTCTCAAAAATCATTAATCAAAAAAGTTAAATGAGAGCAACAATTTTACAACAATAAAATAAAAAAACGCAAAACTATCCATTCACTGCTAAAGACAAACTCTCTCTTGCAACTCACGAAGGCAAGTGAGCTTGTGTGTGTATGTGTACATGCAAATTTTTGTATTGTTATTCCATTTTCTTCCATAAACTTTGAATTTTTGACGAATTTCAATATCTAATTACTACATGTGATATACCATTGGAAAGAAGAAAAGCTAGAGATGTTTTAAAGATCATAGTCAAATGGGCGAATTTGTATTCTTAAAATTACCTTACCTATACACCCACGAAGTTTGTCTAACCTTCCGCCAAACACCCTGTATGTATAGTTAATAAGTTTGTAAATTACTTGTAATTTTTTTTTACTATAAACTTCGATGCAGTCCTTATTTTGGTTAGTAACAAATTTGAACTTAGAGACTATGTTAGTAGGGTTATTAGTAACAATGTTAGAAGTATGCTAGAATCACTTTGAAAGCTTAGGGTCTGTTTTTTTAGTGGTCATTAAAATGCCCATTTCTTTGTCCATGTCGCAGGCAAATTGTATGATTCCGCATTTTACAAACGGCGTCGTCAGTTTACAAACGCTCGCTGTTCTATGAAATGCCGAAGGCAAATTGGCGACTCGTTCAATTGATAAAATTTCGACTATGATTGTTGCAATAGGGTGACCATCATAAAACACATGTTGGACAAATCAGACTTAATTTCAGAAATCAGGTAGGTATCTATTCAGGTAAGACAAACCTAAGATACTTGCTACTCCTAAAGTAATTAAAATATTTTCGTAATAAAAACAACACTAAACTAATTTAAACTATTGACGTACGTACCTAGGTAAAACTATGACATACAATAAGTTTCGATAGTCAGTCCTTTAATTCTTACATTTTAATTATACCTAGAAGAAGTCTAGAAGACAACACAATATTTTTTTAAACCAATAATATTCCGCAGCAGTCCACCACCAGTCCGAGCACCAGATTCCATTGTCACCTTAGCGTTTTTTACGTGCCGGATAACCTCAAAAACTATTTCATTTTTCCATAGCTTTTTCACTGCTCCTATTTATGAATCGTAAAATATTTTTAATTCACTAAGTATAATCAATGTCTTTTTATGTGAAAAGTCCTTTGAATACGTAGAATTTGCACTGTTTTCTGTATCACAACACCACGACTCGACGCCATTTTTCTTGTTTTGATTAGCAGCGCCTCGCGTGGTAAGAAAAAGAACTAAATACTTCAATTTGCCGCGGCATTTTGTAAACAGCAATTGAATTGGCTATCAAATGTTTTGGCATATTATAAAGTGCCCAGGCAATTTACATTTTGCCTTCGGCATTTCATAGAGCAGCGAGCGTTTGTGAACTGACGACGCCGTTTGTAAAATGCGGAATCATACAATTTGCCTGCGACATCTACAAGCGTAATTTCATTTATCTTCGACATTACTTGTACACGTAGAAGGTCTAAAGGCCAGTCAAAGTTTATTAATTTAGCTGTTACTTACTCCACTTCCATTTTTTGCTTCGTTGAGTAATACGGGGAGTTCACCACAGCAAAATGCAAACTTCTTTTTAACTGCATTTACAGTTTATAGCATAAACTGTTAGTTGTTGTTGTTAGCTACGTAATATAGAAACTTAGATTAACGTTAGGGAATCACAAATAACAATTACGAATTAAAAACTGAGAAATAACAGCGTAAAGAATTTTTTCTTTGCGATTTTTGTTGATCTTTTTTGACAGATTGTTGATTTTTTTTCGAGCAAGTTGACAGTTCGTCATTGTCTATAGTTTAGTAAAGCTTCATTACATGAGCCATTTCATAACCTACATGGTATTGAGGAAGAAACAGACGCAAAATTTTATGTTCTATTGATTGTACACAAATTGTGTTAATTTGTTAAGAGTGTTTTACAGTCTTTTGTCTTTTATTAAATGAAATATTGACAACGAACTTATCTGAGCTAGAGCTATTAACGAGCTATGACAAAATTAACCGGTAACGAATTTAAATCGTACAACACTAGAAAGCTTGAAAAAAAGTAAATATTGTTTATGGATGGCTGTCAAAAAACTATTTTGTTTGCGATTTGTTGCTATGTTTTTTTGTGCAAGTAAACAAACAAACACACATTTCTAAAGAATTTATAACTCAAATTATCGTCTTCGTTGTAACCAAGCTCTAAAGATGAATGAAACACATTTAAATGCAAATACGTAGTGCCAAAGTAGCAAGTGAACTTTCAACTTTACTATTTTTTATAAGAAAATTACTAAAAAAATGAGCAATATTAAACTTTGCAGAATATGTTTAGGTCACAATACCCCTATGTACACGGTAACCGCTACAAATTTACACGAGTTTTACGAGAAAAATACGAATAAACCAGTGAGTTCTTTTCCTTAATTTTTGTATTTATGAACATTTTAATGAAAATATTTTGTTAGAAAACATACTAAATTATTAATTTAGCCTAATTATTAGGCAAGCAAATTTAAAGAACAGAGAGTAGGGTTGGTTTTTCTGAGCAAATTATACATTGAAAATATTATAGAACTTGTAAACACTATAATTTCAGCTCAAAACTGACGGAGAACTGTCCGTAGCATGTTACATCTGCTACCATTTGCTGAAGAAGTGTTACAGATTCATACAATGCGCAATAAAAGCAAACGAAGTGCTACAGAAAATATCTAATGACGGGACTGAGGTGAGATTAAATGTAGGCAATAGACTAAAGTACGGCCAACGAGAAGCGATACCAAGTGTAAACAAACCCAATATCATGGGTGAACCCGTCTGACTTTGACATATTTTGGCAGGAGAATGAGACATTACGACAAATACTTAAGATGGGAAGAGACAGAATATATTGTCAACTCGACAGTCGTATCGACCTTTTGTATTTGTATTGCTGCTAGTTGGCCGTACTTTATTTGACACCATTATCATCATCTCAGCCATAGGATGTCTGCGTCCAGCGCCTTCCTGCTGCCTTTATGATGTCGTCGGTCCATCTTGTGGGTGGACGTCCCACTCTGCGTTTTCCTATTTGACACCATTCCCCAATAATTCAAAATCACAACTTTTTTAAAAAGACACGTCATTCTGGTCTTGAAAACTTAATTAGTTTTAATTTAATGTATCTAAATAAAGGTTGTATAAATACACTATACAGATAAATACTTGAGATTGAGAATGATCCATGACCTTTACTAATTTGAAAATTATAAATAACTTGAAATAATCGAACTGCCTAAGGCAGGAATTGAACCCACGACCTTCAGCTTGCCGGGCGACTGCTCTTTCAACTGATGATTACTTTGAGATGCGACTCTTAACGCTAAAAAATTAAATAACCATGACCCTTACCTTAAAAAGTCTTTAACCATATCGTTACAGAAATATTTAAGCCAAAATAGACAATTCTGTTTTTCCTTAAACAAAAATCGAAATAATTATTAATTTTTCTTCCAGATAACAGAAAAAGCCATAGCACTCATTGACAAGCCTTATTCATTTGGAATTTTCCAAGACACCCCAATTGATTTCGTGGTTTCTACGGAAGTCGAAGAGAGTATTGAGGTGCCGATCGTGAAAGACGAACACTTGGATATTAAAAGAGAACCGGCCTTAGACACAACGACATTGGCAGAGGATGAAAAAGATATTATAGGTATACTAGCGGCCGCCCGCGACTTCGTACGCGTGGATCCCGTTTTACCCCCTTCATCTATCTTACGCGGTTTAGATTTTTTCATACAAATGTTTTTTCCCGCTAACTCCCGTTCCCGTGGGAATTTTGCAATATCCTGTTGTAACTAAGCTTTAAGTTTACTAAGGTACCTGCATGCTAAATTTCAAGCGTCTAACTTAAGCAGTTTAGATTTTTCATACAAAAGGATTTTCCCGCTAATTTCCGTTCCCGTGGGAATTCCTTTCTTAGTGCACCTCTACGGTACCTAAGCTACGTCCCTTCCAAATTTCAAGTGCCTACGTTTAGCCGTTTAGGCTGTGGGTTGAAATGTCAGTCAGTCAGTTTCTCCTTTTATATATTTAGAAATGACGTCCACCGCTGGACAGGCCCCTCTTTCCCACTGGGCACTTTGGGCACGTGCCCAGGGCCCCCATCTGCTAATAAGACCTGTTTCCAGATGATAAGGGCCCCCCTTAATCCTGAAATGCCCAGGGCCCCTAGTAGGTTAAAGACGGCCCTGCTGCTGGACAAAGGCCTCCCCCAAGGTTTTCCACAATGCACGGTCCTGCGCTGCCCGCATCCAGGCTCTACCCGCGACCTTTACCAGATCGTCGGTCCACCTAGTAGGAGGCCTGCCAACGCTACGTCTTCCAGCCCGTGGTCGCCATTCGAGAACTTTCCTGCCCCAACGGCCATCGTCTCTATGAGCTATGTGCCCCCCCCACTGCCACTTGATTTTAGCAATTCTGCGAGCTATTTTATGTTGAGTATATAATAAATGTGTTCGTTGTTCACAGAGCCACCGCTACCAGACGATTCCCAAAGCTTCACGGACTCGGAGGACGATGTGCCTCTAAAATGCATCAGCAGGAAGACTGAAACACAGGTCAAGAATAAAAGACCTACTAAAGTTATAAGACCCATTAAAAAAGTTAAAAAGGGTAAGTGAAAATATTTTTATTTAGTTCAAAATGTGTAAATAAATGGTATACCTATACATATGTTTTCTTCTTTTGAGTGTGGCTAGTGTATGTTTCACTAAAAAAACTCAACTCTTAAAACTCATTTATTTTTGCAAATAGGCTTTTAAAAAGCACTTTTACACGTCCCAATATTAACCCTATCGCTGCTTCGGGACAATAAATGGGCCAGTGCTGAGAAGAAGTGGCGCAAGAAACTCAGTCACTATTGTCAGCCTCCTTTTGAAGGGTTTACAGTCTTTAAAATAACATCGTAGACGCGTGTGAGAGTCCTTTCGCCAGAGGAGTAGCTTTGTTGCTCTCTCTTTCTCTCTCCCGTCCATCTTGTCTTCTCAATAGACGAGCATCGCTCTCTCTTACTTTTTCTTTATTTTTTTTCTCTCTCTCTCTCTCTCTCTCTGTCTCTCTCACTCGTTTTATTAGGCCCAGAACACACGGTGAAACGAAATTGCAACGAAACTGCAACTTCTAGTTACTTTTGAGTTGCATCTAAGTTTCTGCCATAGATTCCGTTGAGAGACCACACATGACGCGGTTCTCCGTGTGTTCTGGGTCTTAATGTGTGTCTCACACTTTTAGCCCCAGTTCTCATCGATGCTCGCGAGATAGTCCTATCTCTAGAGGAGCAGCGAGCTCAGTTGCTCGCGCGAGCTCAGTCGCTCAACTACTTGCATTCGCCGCATCGCTGTACTTTATGCTACAAAGGATTTGTAGATCTAAAGGCCTACGAGAACCACAAGGAGAAGCATGACGAGGTATTTGGATTTGTAATAATTTTAAATATTTTATGATTAACAGCTTTTGCCTGCGGCTTCACCCGCGGGAAATTTAGTCTGTGACATATCGTCATAAATTATAGCCTATGTGTTATTCTGGGTTATAAACAACAATACTGTAAAGTTTCATCAAAATACGTTCTGTATTTTTGCGTGAAAGAGTAACAAACAGCCAGACATCTAAACTTTCCCATTTATAATATTAGTAAGAAGTAAGATTGTCAAAATCTAGATCACATTGATCACCTGGAATTGATCACCCAGGTGATCAAAGCAGACTCTGGTGTCCTTTGATCACCAGTGGATGATTTTATTTCAGCCATAGGACGTCCACTGCTGAACATAGGCCTCCCCCAATGATTTCCATAATGGCCGGTTATTAGCGGCCTGCATCCAGCGCCTTCCTTTATGAGGTCGTCGGTCCACCTTGTGGGTGGACGTCCTACGCTACGTCCAGTACGTGGCCTCCACTCCAGAACCTTTCTGCCCCATCGGCCGTCAGTTCTGCTTACTATGTGCCCTGCCCATTGCCACTTCAGCTTGCTAATCCGTCGGGCTATGTCAGCGACTTAAGTTCGTTTACGGATCTCCTCATTTCTGATTCGATCTCGCAAAGAAACACCGAGCATAGCTCTCTCCATAGCACGCTGTGCAAGTTTGAGCTTCTGCATAAGGCCTATAGTGAAAGGCCACGCCATTAATCTTTCAGAAATGTGTCAATAGGGATGTTTCCTGGGTAAAAAAAAACAAGTTTTAATTAGTCCGTCAGTTAGCTTATCAAAAACTACTCGACACGTATTTTTTATTTTTTAAAACTAATGAAAATGTAAAGAAATAAAGCGTGTCAAAGCCCTAAAGTAAAGGCCCGTGACGTCAATGAGTGCGCAAAAGTGCAGCACTTTGTGACGTCGCACGGAACTTCAACGCACTATAACTTTGTAAATATTTGTTTGATTGACAATTAAAAATATACGTGTCCAATATTTTTTTATATTTAAATTGACGGACTAAAAAAAATTTTTTAGGAAACTAGCCTATTGTAATCCTCATTTCGTCGTTCCCTACAGCGCAGCGGCCCGTTCGAGTGCGAGATATGTCGCATGCGCTACCGCACGTCGAGACACCTCCGCACACACGTGCACACCTGTCATGGCCGCCAGTACGCGTGCAACAAATGCGCGCACCGCTCGCACACCGCGTGAGTATACACACACACACACGCACACACAAACGCACACACACACACACACACACACACACAAACACACACACACACACACACACACACACACACACACACGCACACACACACACACGCACACACACACACACACACACTTATTTCATTATCTATATCAGGGGTCTCCAAACTACGGCCCGCCACTGCCATCAATCCGGCCCGCGCCAGCTTAAGACTAAGCCTATTTTTGGCAGAAAAATTAAAGTTGTTATGGCCCTTGCAACATACCAAAAAAGTTTGAGGACCCCTGATCTACAGGGTATCCTAGAATGGGTGAATCAAACTGATATGAGAAGTAGCTCTACTAATGTACTATCCCTAACAAATAAATATTTTGAAAAAGTGAAAATAAATCAGCTTTGCCTAAGTATCTGGCTATAATTGCTGCGTTTGGAGTTTATTTGTACTTTTTTCTTACTAATATTAATTGTACATGATCGCTTCGTGTATCTGTAAACAAACTGTTGAAAAAAATGATAGTAGTAGTAGGATAGTACATTAGTAGAGCTACCTCCTCTATCAGTTTGATTCACCCATTCTGGGACACCCTGTATATCAAGCCTGTTCATCTCCTGGCATCGAAAATGTGTCATCGAAAACACCGTCGGGTTTAATTCACAAGGTATTCACAGTAGTGAGTGACGTACGCGCGCGTATTCTTCACCCATTGTAAAATAAAATATTCGCTATGGAAAGAAGAAAAAATACGCGCGTGTGTGTATCATTAAGGGTAGATTCGACCAAACAAGAGTAAATATTAATCTCAGAATATATCGTCAGACATATTTCCCATACTGAAACTGTCAATGTGCCAGTTACAAAGCCCGGTCTCCGAGCACGTAGAATTTTGTCCAATGACCCCAAGCTACCAATGCTTATCGCTCGCGCGTAATTATGTTGCGGGCTGCACAGCACTGCGGGCGCCCGTCGCACAGTCGCGACAGCAATATAATTACGCGCGAGCGATCAGGATGGGTAGCTTGGGGTCATTGGACAAAATTCTACGTGCTCGGCGACCAGACTATACCAGTTGTTCTCGGATAAACGTTTGGTAGAATCGGGCCTAAAGCACATAACTTACAGCTAATATTGAATGTTTCAGCAACCAAGCTAGAGAGCACGAGAAATGGCACAACGGATACACGTACGAGTGTCAGCTGTGCAGCCAAAAGTTCAGGTATCGTACGAGAAAGTCTTTGTAGTTCTTTTATGGAGAGCTTTTTGCTCTGTACGGAGTTCAAAATCAACTATTTTTGTAAAGGGCATGCACTTTATTTTCCAATGGGGGGTTCAAAACTTACTTTGTTTTCCAGTGGGGGGGGGTCAAAATGTACTTTTTTTGTTAATGGGGAGTACTACTTTTTCCCCGATAAGGGGTTGAAAATGTAATTGTTATAAACGTAATTCATTTTCCGATGGACCCCCCATTGGAAAATGAATTACGTTTTGAACAAATTGTACTTTATTTTCCAATGCAATGGGGAGTTAAAAAGTAGTTTTTTCCCAATGGCGGGTTCAAAGTTTACTGTTTTCCCTAAGGGGAATTCAAAATGCATTTTTTCCCAATGGGGGGTTCAAAATGTACTTTATTTTCCCAATGGAGGGTAACAATAAACTTGCAGTTTACTGTTTTCCCAATGGGGAATTCAAAATTTATTTTTCCCCCAATGGGGGGTTGAAAATGTACTTTATTATTCCAATAGAGGGTTTAAAGTTTACTGTTTTCCCAATGGGAGGGTTAAAAGTTAACTTTTTCCCAATGGGGGGTTGAAAATGTAGTTTATTTTCCAATGGAGGGTTGAAAATAAATAAATACATTTTTGGACAATTTTACACAGCGCCAGCTAGCCCCAAAGTAAGCAACTTAATGCTTATGTTATGGGTGCTAGCTTAACGGATATACTACTTATATACTTTTTTTTTTAAATACATAAATATTATACATAGTCACACCCAGACCCGTCACAGAAATTAAAATTCATCATTTCAATTTCTGTCCGGCCGGGAATCGAACCCGGGACCTCTCGGCATAGTAGTCCGTTCTGAACCACTACACCAAAATGTCCTTTATTTTCCAATGGGGTGTTCAAAATGTACTGTTTTCCCAATGGGGAATTCAAAATGTATTTTTTACCCTAATAGGGGGTTCAAAATGTCCTTTGTTTTCCAATGAAAGGTTCAAAATGTACTATTTTTCTCAATCGGGGGTTGAAAATGTCCTTTATTTTCCAATGAGAGGTTCAAAATGTACTTTTTTCCTTATAGGGCGTTCAAAATGGCCTTTTTTCTCAATAGGGGGTTCAAAATGTATTTTCTCCTCAGGAAACCGACCTAATACTTGACACATTCTTCTGTGGGTTTTGATGAAATGTTATTTTACATACAGTAGGGGGTTATAAATGTAGAAAAATATTATTATTCCTCAGAAAACCAACGTCATATCTCACTCACATGCGCAAGCGACACCCGACGGAGCACGTGTGCAATATATGCGGTGACAGCTTCGTAGGACGCCACGGGCTCCTAATGCACAAGAGTAAGACGCATCGGGGACAGGAGGTGAGTTGGATGTGGGTTGAGACGACTTCTGGTCTGGTTGGACCAATGCACAACTTTTCCCAAAGGACCGAAGTAACTGGAAAATGGGCTTAAATCTTTATCTATTTAAATATACAGGGTGTTTCTTGTAAGGTGTCAAGCCGAAGGCAGGTGATAGGTGAGGACTAGACCTATCGATTTCACCCCCATATATGTTCTACGATTTTTCGTAGTTTAGAAGTTATCGTTAATTTTGTGATTTTTTCAAATTTCAGGACCTAGTGGCTTAATTTTTTTTTTATCTTTTTTTTGGGTTGACTTTTCTCAGATTTCTTTTTTTTGACAGATTCCCTATTAAGTGCAGATATTTGAAAAAAATAATCACCTTCCTATCTTTGATGCAAGATACAAAATTTTTGCTAGAAACATAAAAAATATGCTTTTAGCAGAACATTCTAAAATTTTCAAGTCAGATGAAGGGCAAGAGCTTCCTCGTTGTGGATAAAAAATGTTCTGTTCAGTTATTGTCTCTAAACGTGTTCTACGTAACGTACACTTAGTGGATTGCAAACATTAGTTAGTCCTAAGAAAGTCAAAAACATGTAACGGAATCTCCGACTTACTACTTTAGTAGAGCGATTACAGAAAATAATGGCCTATTAAGTACATGTTTTTTTGTGTTATTATGAAAGTTTAGAAAACTGCGCAGTTTTTAAAATTATTTTGGACATATGGAAATTCTTTTTTTTTCTCATACATTTCAGTTGAAAATTTTAGAATGTTCTGCTAAAAGCATATTTTTTATGTTTCTAGCAAAAATTTTGTATCTTGCATCAAAGATAGGAAGGTGATTATTTTTTTCAAATATCTGCAACTAATAGGGAATTTGTAAAAAAAAGAAATCTGAGAAAAGTCAACCCAAAAAAAAGATAAAAAAAAAAATTAAGCCACTAGGTCATGAAATTTGAAAAAATCACAAAATTAACGATAACTTCTAAACTACGAAAAATCGTAGAACATACATGGGGGTGAAATCGATAGGTCTAGTCCTCACCTATCACCTGCCTTCGGCTTGACACCTTGCAAGAAACACCCTGTATAAAAGGAGAAACTGACTGACTGACAGACCAACGCACAGCCTAAACGGCTAAACGTAGGCACTTGAAATTTGGAAGGGACGTAGCTTAGGTACCGTAGAGGTGCACTAAGAAAGGAATTCCCGAAATTCCCACGGAAATGGGAATTAGCGGGAAAAAACATATGTATGAAAAATTCTAAACCGCATAAGATAGATGAAGGGGGTAAAACGGGATTCACGCGTACGAAGTCGCATTCGCGAAAGCATTGGGGGAGGCCTGAAATGATGATGATGATGATGTAATAATATAACTCAGCTATGTAACTAGATGCATAATATCATTCACACTAAGCGTTTCGATTACTCTTTTATAATGCTAACAGCTAGGGACTGGAATTCGCTGCCTGCTGCTGTCTTTCCTGAACAGTATAATCCGGCCTTTTCAAGGCGAGAGTGAATAGGCACTTACAGGGCAGATATGTACCATCCTAGACTGCATCCCACTTAACACCAGGTGCGATTGCGGTCGAATACCTACCTGAAAACTGTTGTAATGCATTTTTGTACATTTTTTCAGAAGCTCACTCCAGAGCAAGAACCGAAGTTTTGTGCGGACTGCAACATACACTTCGTGTCTTTGGACGCTTGGAAACGCCACATCATGAGCTCAGCCAAGCATGCGGTGGCCACTGATGCTAGGTAAGTGTCATCATCATCATCATCAGCAACAGTACCGAAACGCGTTTGATCAGTGATCACTCATCCCATTTTTAACCAGAACACATCTTTATCCATGACCATAAGGTCAGTTGTTGCTATACCCCGATGGATTAGCAAGTTGAAGTGGCAATGGGCAAGGCATATAGCACGCAGAACTGACGGCCGATGGGGCAAGATTCTGGAGTGGAGGCCACGTACAAGATGGACAGACGGCCTCGTAAAGGTAGCAGGAAGGCGCTGGATGCAGTTCGCTACTAACCGGGCGATGTGGATATTATTGGGGGAGGCCTATGTCCAATACATCTAGCATGAACAACTTTCGTCTTCGAATCGTTTGCGTATTTGACAAAATTCGATACTCAACCTTCGAATTAAACGATAACGTGACAATTTTGATTCTCAAAATAAGTTTCGTGCAACCATTTCTCATACTAAGTTCACTTTACTTTCAAGTTCGAATCGTTTGCGTACTCGAATCCCCATCAAAAGATTTAGTAAGAAAACTACAACAGCGCCCTTGTGAACGTGTCGTAAAGTGAACTTAGTATGGGATGTGGTTGCACGAAACTTATTTTGAGAATCAAAATTGTCACGTTATTGTTTAATTTGAAGGTTGGGTATCGAATTTTGTCGAATACGCGAACGATTCGAAGACGAAAGTTTTTCGTGCTAGCCGTACTGGTCATTTACAGGTCGAGCGTTTAATTCAGTCAGTACCTCCGACTACATTTGTGAATACAAAGTTTTCTTGTTTCTATCTTTTCTGTTCATTTTAACGCAGTTGCGTTTTTCGTTTTTTCAACAATATTTTTTGTGTGAGCAATTTATTAATTGAGGTATTTTGTGGCAGCGTGGGACGGCCACCCACAAGGTGGACCGACGACATCATAAGATAGCAGGCCGCTACCAACCGGGCAACATGGAAAGCATTGGGGGAGGCCTATGTTCAGCAGTGGACGTCCTATGGCTGAAATGATGATGATGATGAATTTATTCATTAAATTTTCAACTTCCTCAGTACATTGTGTCACGCGTGCGACACGCGCGTCCCGGGCTCAAAGCTGCGCGAGCATTTGCGCTCGCACGAGGCCGAGCGCGAGCGCGCGCCGCCGAATACCGCCGCGAATGTTCGCGCCGCGCCGCGCGCTCCCTGCTCTCAGGTAAGAGGGATGGTAACAAAGAGATTTTTTTTTTGGCATCAGTGTCGTGTATACTAGGGATGTTATAAATATGTAGTTTCGGTTATGGATACGTTTACGGATATAGGAATAATATTATACCGGTTACGGTTACGGATACTTTAATATTTCAGATATCCGAAAGTTTCGGTCACGGTTACGGATATCCATAACATCCCTGTGGGCTGTGTGAGTTTACATACATGTATGAAAATTTTAGGTTTTGATAGTTTCCCGCTAGGGGCGCTGTACAATCCGTCATACAATTAATGTCATTTTGACGCACTCACTAGTGAGCGCGTTTGAAAAAAACTCACACTCAGCCCTCTGGTGTATACTACGGCTTAGTCATCAAAATGACAACTTCTCAAAATGACAACCGGGACGCCGAAAATGCGTTTCAGCTCGGAATGACAACTTCTCAAAATGACAACCGGGGCGCAAAATGTCCACTTCTCGAAATGACAACTTCTTAAAATGTCAACTTTGCTAAAAGACAACTTCTCATAATGTCTATTTCTCACAATGACAAATTCGCATTTGGTCAACTTCACATAATGACAACTCTAGAAAAACTAGAACTCTAGAAATAATGAAAATAAAATATCAACAAGTAATTGACATTATGCGAAGTAGACCAAATGCGAATTTGTCATTGTGAGAAATAGACATTATCTAACGAAGTTGACATTTTAAGAAGTTGTCATTTCGAGAAGTGGACATTTTGCGCCCCGGTTGTCATTTTGAGAAGTTGTCATTCCAAGCTGAAACGGCAAAACTGTCCACAAATAATCGAAATATCCGAAATAGACAATATTATTATGAGAAGTTGTCTTTTAGCGAAGTTGACATTTTAAGAAGTTGTAATTAAGAGAAGTGGACATTTTGCATCCCGGTTGTCATTTTGAGAAGTTGTCATTTTGATGACTAAAGCCTGGTCCGTGAGCACGTAGAATCCTGTCCAATGACCCCAAGCTACCCATCCTTATCGCTCGCGCGTAATTATATTGCTGTCGCGACTGTGCGACGGGCGCCCGCAGTGAGTGTGCGAGCGCGATAGCAACATAATTACGTGCGAGCGACAAGGATGGGCAGCTTGGGGTCATTGGACGGGATTCTACGTGCTCACGGACCAGGCTTTAAGCCTATGATGAGATGGGCGTTGTTTTACAAAAGCACACCTGTATACTCGTATTTGTTTTCTCGTACAGTGCGGAGCAAACTTCGTGAACCGCTCGAAGCTGCAGGCGCATATAAAGAGGATCCATTTGGGAGTCAAATACAACAAGAACATCGTCTGCGAAGTGTGCGGGAAGAAGTGCACCGTAAGTCTTATGTTTAAGGTCCATTTTCAAATGTGATTTTGCGCCAATAGGGATGATGATTGGGTAATGAAATCGAAATTCTATTTAGTCCGTCAGACAGATAACAAAAAAATTTTGGACACATATTTTTGAATTTTTTTCGTAATCGAATAATTACAGTATTATATTGAGTTGAAATGTCGCGTGACGTCACTTTTGACTAAAAAATCTACTCAAGCGTGACGTAACGCGCCATTTCAACTCGATGTAGCACTGTTATAAAAAATATGAGTCTAATATTTTCTAATTATTATCTGTCTGACGGACAAATAATTGAAATTTTGTCATCTAGCCTATTAGCGGTAAACTCAGTCTTTGCTTTCATTGCTTTGGGATAATTTTGTTTAAAAAACATGTTTGAAACTTCTCACGCCCCACGCAATTATTGTCCACGTCATGTAAGCTCACCTTTTCATTTATTTTCAACGCCCCTCGAATGCCCCATGCAAGCCCCGCCCACGCCCCACTGATAAAGCCCCACTAACGCCTTACAAATGTCCCGCAAACACCTGTCTCAGTGAACTCTTACCACCACATTCCCGTAAGTTTTCCTCAAATGCCCCGTGAAAGCCCCACCAATACTCCTCGAAAGTACCGACCATTCCATGGAAGTGTCATTGTCTGCTGAGATGCTACGACACCATGCTGTGAATAACCATTTCTTCTTCTGCTTCATTTACCTTTACTTCCCATAATCTTTCCTCCAACGCACTTTCTAACTCCCCACGTACGCCCCGCCTATTTGTTTAGAGTAGGCGCACACCGTTGATTTTTAGTTGGCCGATAGTTGTGCCCGATTTTAAATTGTATGAAGAATCGGCCAAATCGAATCGGCGTAGTGTGTGCACTCCCATACATGCCCATACTGATCAACTGCCCGACTAAACTATCGGCCGACGAAAAATCAACGGTGTGCGCCTACTCTTAAGGTTAGTATTGTTTCAGTCAGTCATAAAATAATATTGAAAGCCCCACCTTTCCTCCAAAGCAGTTTCTAACGCCCCGCTTATCTGTTTATTGTTGTTGTTAGTATTGTTTCAAATTCAGTCATAAATAAAATAAGAATGAAAGCCCCACTAATGCCCCACTGTTGCAGTCCAACGCCTCGCTAAAGTACCACCATGTAAAACATCTTACTATCTGAATAGTACAATTGTTTATTATCCGGAAAAAAATGAAAGCCCCACTAACGCCCCACTGTTGCAGTCCAACGCCTCGCTAAAGTACCACCATGTAAAACATCTTACTATCTGAATTGTACAATTGTATATTATCCGGAAAAAAAAAATTAAAGCCCCACGTATGCCCCACTAACGCCCCACTGTTGCAGTCCAACGCCTCGCTAAAGTACCACCATGTAAAACATCTTACTATCTGAATTGTACAATTGTATAATATCCGGAAAAAAAAAATTAAAGCCCCACGTATGCCCCACTAACGCCCCACTGTTGCAGTCCAACGCCTCGCTAAAGTACCACCATGTAAAACATCTTACTATCTGAATTGTACAATTGTTTATTATCCGGAAAAAAATAAAAAATAAATAAAAATGAAAGCCCCACGTATGCCCCACTAACGCCCCACTGTTGCAGTCCAACGCCTCGCTAAAGTACCACCAGCGTACGCACACGGGCGAGCGGCCGTTCGCCTGTTCACACTGCGGGAAGCGATTCGCCGACAACAACCAGCGGCGGATACACGTGCGGTGAGTCTATTATACCTCAGTACTTCTAGCATGAACAACTTTCGTCTTCGAATCGTTTGCGTATTCGACAAAATTCGATACTCAACCTTCGAATTAAACGAACGTGACAAGTTTGATTGTCAGAATAAGTTTCGTGCAACCATTTCTCATACTAAGTTCACTTTACGACACGTTCACAAGGGCGCTGTTGTAGTTTTCGTACTAAATCTGTTGATGGCGATTCGAACTCGAAAGTTTTTCGTGCTAGCCGTACGGCTGATGACTGAGATACTGATACACTATTCGCGAGGTGGACAGACGACCGAATAATGGTAGCAGGAAGGCGCTGGATGCAGGCCTCTACCAACCGCTGTAGAAGTCATTGGGGGAGGCCTATGTTCAGCAGGGGACGTCCTTTGGCTGAGATGATGGTGATGACTATTCTCGAAGTTGGTCGAAGTTAGTCGAAGTAGGTAGTGAATTCTTATTTCATTTCGCTTCGGGCAACCTCACCTCGCATTGAAAAAGTTAAAAATAAAAAATTGCAAATAGGAACACTTGATTTCTTGGAATCCATGGGTGGCAAGATACTATGCATCGCTTCATGCAATTTTAATCACGATGGAGCTCTTCATGAGACAACAGCGTGCATCTTTTTTCAAAACCAACGAAATTTACAAAGTTTTTAACGGTCTTGGAGAAATCAATCGTTGCTAGAGAAAATTAAGAATAATACAAATAATTAACCTACATAGACTAAATATTTACAAATAAAAATATGTCCCAAATCGCTGTCCATACAACGCGACATGGTGCCCAGAATGCTGGCTGCATTTCCGCGCTGAATGGCCAAACTGATTCGTTGGCCAAGAAATGCGCCAGCTTTGCTATTTGCAAAAATATTAGATGCAAATGGAGGATGCGGCCTAAACTCCCCTAGCTGGCCAGATAGGTTGGGGACGCCAGTACGGCTAGCACGAAAAACTTTCGAGTTCGAATCGTTTGCGTATTCGAATCGCCATCAAAATATTTAGTACGAAAACTACAACAGCGCCCTTGTGAACGTGTCGTAAAGTGAACTTAGTATGAGAAATGGTTGCACGAAACTTATTTTGAGAATCAAAATTGTCACTTTATCGTTTAATTCGAAGGTTGTCTATCGAAATTTGTCGAATACGCCATATTTCACGACATCAACGAAAAGATCTGTTCCTTTTCTGCTTCTTCCGGAACCAAATAGATGTTTTTTTTATTTAAGTACATTTTTTTATACAGGACACATACCGGCGAGCGACCGTATTGCTGCGCGGCGTGTGGAAAGAGATTCAGCCAGAAACCAGCGCTAAACAGGCACTACCGGGTAAGTTATCAATTTAATTCACAAACGACCACCACAAGGTGGACCGACGACCTCAAAGGCAGGAAGAAGGCGCTGGACGCAGGTTACTACCAACCAGTCGATGCGGAAACTATTGGGGGAGGGTAAGTCAATAATTTAATTCACAAACGACCACCACAAGGTGGACCGACGACCTCAAAGGCAGGAAGAAGGCGCTGGACGCAGGTTACTACCAACCAGTCGATGCGGAAACTATTGGGGGAGGGTAAGTCAATAATTAAATTCACAAACGACCACCACAAGGTGGACCGACGACCTCAAAGGCAGGAAGAAGGCGCTGGACGCAGGCTGCTACTAACCGGTCATTATGGAAATGATTGGGCTTATGTTCAGCAGTGGACGTCCTGTGGCTGAAATGATAATGAATATATTGCCACCATAAGTTAAACCTTACTGACTTGTAATAAGATCGAAAACCAATGATTTTCAACATGTTTTACCTTCTTAGGCTGGGTTGCACCATTACTTTAACTTTGACAAACGTCAAAAATCTGTCAAACTCCATACAAAAAACACCGGTTATCGTTAAAGTTACGGTCAAAGTTAGGTGGTGCAACTCAGCATATAAAAGATTTGGTACTTAAGGCTGATTTACACGTATTAAGTAGTTAAGTATTTAACTAAATTTTAAGTGATCAAATTGCATCGTAACTAAATTTTTACTTTATTCCAAACGTCAAGCTCTTGTTTACTATGAAACTGCTTGTCAAAACGTGTCAAGTAACAAGCCCCGCCCACCAACTTGACAGAAAAATCAAGTTATAGATGACCCACGCTGAAATGTCCCACCAAACTCAATGACAGGGGGGCGCTACCATCGTTCAACTATATGGTTTCCAACATGGCAAAAATCTGAACCAGCGATCCGGTATTGACGGTGGCGCCCCACTGTCAATGTCATCGACAGGACAGTCCAGTATTTTGGAACTATAAAATTTAGTTACCTACTTATTAAATCAGCCATTATGAACTATACTCGAATAAGCACTTTGTTCACTGATTTTCCAACAACCCATATCACTAAAGATCATACATTGGCCACTTCATCTCCAGTAACTTTTAATTTTGATTCCAGGTGCACACAGGGGCGAAGCCCTACGACTGCCAGTTCTGCGCGAAGACCTTCAGCCAGTCCAACTCTCTGAAGCTCCACGTCAATACAGTACACTTAAAGATACCACGCGCTGCTAAGAAACAAACCGCGGCACCTGATGCTTAGGCAAGACTTGGATGGGTGTTCGTTCGTTTCAGCCGAAAGACGTCCACTGCTGGACAAAGGCCTCCCCTAAGGATTTCCACAGAGGCCGGTCCTCGCTCGCATCCAGGCACCTCCCTCGACCTTCACCAGATCGTCGGTCCACCTAGTGGGAGGCCTGCCCACGCTACGTCTCCCAGCTCGTGGTCGCCACTCAAGAACTTTCCTGCCCCAGCGGTCATCAGCTCTTCGAGCTATGTGCCCCGCCCACTGCCACTTGATTATAGCGATTCTGCGAGCTATGTCAGTCACTCTGGTTCTTCTACGGATCTCCTCATTTCTGATTCGATCACGCACATTGGATGGGTGATACACTACTTCTACGTCAATACTGTACACTTGAAGATACCACGCGCTGCTAAGAAACAACCCACGGCACCTGATGCTTAAGACCGGAGTTGGATGGGTGACCCTACTTCTTGTAGTCAAACCTTCATCATAATTTCATCCACAGGACGTCCACTGCAGTACGGCTAGCATGAAACACTTTCGAGTTCGAATCGTTTACGTATTCGAATCGCCATCAAAAGATTTAGTACGAAAACTACAACAGCGCCCTTGTGAACGTGTCGTAAAGTGAACTTAGTATGAGAAATGGTTGCACGAAACTTATTTGAGAATCAATTTTGTTGAATACGCAAACGATTCGGAGACGAAAGTTTTTCATGCTAGATGTATTGAACATAGGCCTCCCCCAATGATATCCACATCGCCCGGTTGGTAGCGACCTGCATCCAGCGCCTTCTTGCTACCATTACGAGGCCGTCTGTCCATCTTGTACGTGGCCTCCACCTCCAGAACCTTGCTGCCCCATCGGCCGTCAGTTCTGCGTGCTATGTGCCTTGCCCATTGCCACTTCAACTTGCTAGTCCATCGGGCGGGGTATAGCAGCAACAACTGACCTTATGGTCATGGTCAAAGAAAGTAATATAATATAATATTGTACGCCCAATCGGCAGGTTATAGCGGTTGTATGTAAACATTTAAGATCTGTGTTATTGTATTACCTATAACTAACACAATAAATGATTATTTGATTGATTGATTGATTGTTCTGGTTAAAAATTTGATGAGTGATGACTGATCAAACGCGTGTATCGGTCGAAGAAATGACATGTTACATGATTTAAGGTCTTAAATAGTGATTTATTATATTTATTATAGTCATTTAAAGTGGACCCTTTTCAAAAATCTATTGGGTGCAATATTTAATGTATTTGCATTTTTATTATAAATTAATATAATTTATAAAATGTATTTATAAGTAATAATGAAAATTGGATATTTGAATTTTTATGGTATGGAAAATAAATTGTATTTAATATTTAATAGTGTATTTTATCTACTTCTACAAAATGGGAGCTTTTTAGGGATGAAATAAAACAATAATTTCAACAGAGATAATTTTTATTACAATGTAAGTATAACCAGGCGCAAACATCAACATGGTATAAGCTTGCGGTCGACGGGTTAAGAGTCATATACAGGGTGTCCCAAAATCGATGGTTTTATTTTATTTTTCTTTATTTTATAGAAACCATAGTGAGGGTCTATCGATAGAAGGTTATCCATTGTTTTGGGACACCCTGTATAATTTATACATACTTTTAAAATTACATTAAACCGAAGTAGATATCAAATTAAAATAATATGTTGTCAAGATTTTTAAACAATTTATAATCATATAAGAATAATGTAGAATATACCGAATAGTTCCAAAATAGATTTTTGCTGAAGTTAAAATATTATACTTTTTTTGTGAAAAAGAAATGCATATAAAATAATATTTCAATATCGTAGCGTGCGCAAGCGAAAACATGAACACAGACTTATATACGTTATTATTTTAATATACACACTAAAATATAGCTATCACGGTACAGTCAACGTCAAATTTATATAAACATCGGAATTTATATAAAATTGGAAAATTTCAAAAATATTTTTGCCACGATGGACGGGACTTTCTTTTTCACGTTTTCACCACTGCACAGTAATGTAGACATGATCTACAGTTTGGTCTTTAATTAATTTTATATTATCGTTTTATCGAGCAACTTTATCGATTTTAAACGATAATCCCATGCATTTGTCGTCTACAATCAACGACAAGATCCTACGCGCATTCTAGACCGGTAGAATCTTCGCTCCGTTGCGAAGCGTCACACGTAAGCCAAAACCAGGAGCGAAGCAATAATATTATGTAGAACCTAGAGTTCATTTTTTATGACAAAAAATCCTTTAGAAATTACAATTCATCATTTTAACCAAGAACAACCCAAAATACTTCTTTTTTCAGGAACAGAAAGTAGTTCATGTAGTTTTTGGATTATTTTGAGTTGCGCCACTTTTGTCTAAAAGTGCGATATATGTAATGACGTTGACTGTACGCGAGAATTGTTCGTTTGATACTACAATATTTAGCGATTTACAATAGTTCGAATTCACAACCCTCAAAAGGCAAAGGCTGTATATCTAAAACATCGATATTTTATAAGTGGCGCCACTCGGTAAGTATCGATAGTTGTACATCTAGCACATAGCCGACGCAATTGCGATGCGATGTGTTGAGTTACCTACCATGCGATCGTATCGTAGCATCTTTAGTTAATTCTATGGATGGATCGAATGATGGCTGGATAAATTATCGACAATTCAAACTCTACAGTTACTTCTCTAGCATTAGTGTGACCATCATAATGAATTCGATGTCGTTATATCGATGCTACTCATAACTTCTATAATGGTCTCGATAGATCCGTTAGACTAGGCGCAGACCATCGATTTTTAGTTGGCCAATAGTTGTGCCCGATTTTAAATTGTATGAAGAATCGGCCAAATCGAATCGGTGAAATGTGCGCACTTCCATAAATGCCCATACTGATCAACTGCCCGACTAAACTATCAGCCGATGAAAAATCAATGGTCTACTCTATCACTAAAACACTCACAGGTGTGAGAGATAAAATATTTACTTACACTCGAAAGTTAGCAATAATTTCACATTTAGTTTTAACGATAAATTTTCTAAACAACTATACAACATCCAACATCAACATCAACACACCTAGACCATTTTTAATACAATAATTTTGTAATTGACGTTACTTTATTAATTGCAAGTGCTTGTAACACATAATAATATGTAAAGCCCGGTCTGTGAGCACGTAGAATTTTGTCCAATGACACCAAGCTACATACTTATCGCTCGCGCGTAATTATATTGCTGTCGCAACTGTGCGACGGGCGCCCGCAGTGACAAAATTCTACGTGCTCGCAGACCAGACTATATCTATAATAGATACAGTCAGCGTCAAATAGTTCTAGACACTCAAAGTGGCCAATTTGACAAGACAACCTTATTGCAATTGTAACAAAAAAAATGAAGTATGATGTTTATATCCGTTGTCTAGTACCCATATTACAAGCTTTGCTTAGTTAGGGACTAGAAGCGTAGTGTAAAATGTCCAAGGATATTTATTTATTATTATTATAACAGACGTGTTGCGGAAGTTTTGGCTACTTTGGGTGTTGCGAACTTTTTGGCTACTTTAGGTGTCAAGAACTATTTGACGCTGACTGTGTACAGTCAAATTGCACTGATTAATACTAAACTGGTTAACAAAACAATTGGGGTACGTTTAGGCTAAATTTAGAACAATAGATTTTAATTAAGTACTTCAAAAAATAGGCCGAAGATTATAATTGAATTTAGCAAAATACGGATATGATACTACTTGGTCTGCGATCCCTTTTCACCATTTTTGACACCCTGCCTTGTTTTTCACAGTTACAAAGTCGATCGACGGTTAATTAATTGACAGTTCAGTTTGTGTTGGTGGCGCTAGTGTCTGCACAATATTTGACGTCCGCTGTCAATTTTTAGGCGGAAGTATTGTTCATTTTTTCACTCGTCACAAATACATTTTCGGGTTATACATATTTATTTTGCAACTTTCATGAGTCTGAATGAATTTAACAATGATAAAACCTTGTAGAAGACTATTTTAATTTTTTTTTTTTGCAATGCGGCTGTTCAAAAAAGCGTTTACCCAATAAAAAAGTCAAGAGTCTACAAGATAAATAGTGGTACTTTACAAAACATTTCATTTTAATAATGTTCCCCAAAAATGAACCAATTTAATGATCTAAAACCCCGTCGATCGACACGCAACGTGTTATTATTACAGAATCTAAATTCCCGTTTTGTCGTCCATTAATAAGGCCTCTCCATATCACAAAAATTCATGTGAAATCTCTACATCTTTAAAAATCACTAGACAGTTTCCTAATATATGAGTTGAGCCTTAGGACACAGCAAATTTTAATTTTTAATTAATTTTGGACCAGATACTAAGGTTCGAAATATGGTGGGAAATAATTATATTCCCTGCCTTTAAAAGGGTAAAACTTTAATGTGTTGGTCGTGCTTTAACAAACTACCTACATACTTTCTTAACATCCTACGTTTCTTATAACCACATAATATTTCGTAAAACATATAACATCGAATACGTTGAAAGCACACCAAAAAGTGATACAGCGTTAGTGCATTTATATATTTTATATTAATAATTAACTTCGTGATATTATTGTACAAAGATTCCTCCAATAGAGGCAATGACACCATAACTATATGGTCCAACAGACTTTCCCATAAAAACCATAATATTACAAAAGAGACGTTTAGTTTTTCTGGAATATGAAAAAAATAATAAGAATATCACTTTATTTTAATTTAATTAGTTTGGATATTTTTTTCAAGTTAGTTAAGAATCTTCTTAAGAAATCTTTTTTCAAAATGCATATTATATTTTATTGTTAGAAAAATGTCAATAAAAATGAATTCAGTTACTTTGACTGCAAAAGAGAGAGAACACTGAAAGTAAATGGTTGTGGTGTCATCATACCCTTTTGCGGAAGTATTTTACACTAGATTCTATATTATACATATACAGTGTCGATTCCGTAGGGACAAAATAGTCAAAAAACATAGATGTCACTAGTAACACAGTTTGCGCCAAACTGATAGTCAAAAATATCAAATTGAATAAAGAAATAATAAAACATAAAAATAATAAAAGCTAGAGCTATGACACATAATGTATACAGAATTATAAAATATTTGTATACATTCAACGGGTTTTTTACCGGTATACTTAGCAACAAAAAATATAAATGCATAAGTTTAATATTTTTAAAATGATTATTTGTATTCGCAACTATATCATCTCTGCATAAAATATATAGATTTATATAAGAAAAAAATGCTGCCATAGTTCATTAAAAATATTTTTTCTTTACTACATAATATATTTTACTACTAATAGATTTTATATATTTATTAGTGTGCATTGCAAGCAATCTTAAAACCATCATTAACTTTGTTATTATTTTATTATACGACAATACATACTATAACTGAGTTGACACTATATTTCATTAATAATTGTCAATGACTGTGACATTACTTTTAGTCAGCAGACCAAAATGACGTCATGGGTTTGAATTGACATTTAAAATATAAGGAAATGTATCATAAAAAGTTCGTGTCAATATAATTTGAGTGTCAACAACTCTACAAAGAAGGCAACATTCGATTATACTTTGATTGGTTAAAATCTGCGCATACTTACGTAAATATATAATTAAAAATTGCAATAACAAGCACAGCTGTTTAAAATCTTTTTCGTGTAAATATATTTTGTATAATGTTCATAATTATATTTTATTTTCTTCTTATAAGATAGGACGAATTCCAAGTTCTGCTAAATGTATAATACAGGATGTAAGAGATGGTATTTATTTTATTGTAGAAATAGTTAACTCAAAATTGCGCCTTGAGCAAAAAATGGAACTGTAATGTTATCTGTCTCTATTTTATTGTCATTCAAAATATTAAATATCTGTGGTATATTCCGAGAAAAAAAATGCGCGTTTTGTAAATTTTCTGTTTTAAAACTTAACATCCTATACAATACATATTTAATCAAGGTCATAAATCAATCTCTAATGGTTTAAAATCTTATATAAAAAACATTATCTTGCAAATAAACATCTAATATAATATAGATAGAAATAAATTGAAATGTTAAACATATAAGGGAAGGCACTGATGCTGATATATAACATATTATTGACATAATATTATAGACATCTCAGAACATCTATGGCACGAATAAAACTACGTATAATAAAACAACTTGTAAATATGCCACGCGATTATAGCTCTTATTACAATTGACTCAAAACTACAACTAAATATAATTAGGGTTAACTCTCCACTTACTGCAGGTCACCTGGAAAATAAAGTATACATCGTAGAACGAATTTACTTTCATCCGCCAGCTATAATAGCCAGGATCTACGGCTTGGCCTCCAATAAAAACTCAACCAGTGAAAGCTAAGTTGGTCCCCCAAAAAGTTAAAACTATTATTGTTTTCGCAATAAAATGAATAAGAACATAGCGTCGAAGACAGTGAAAATCTGCGTAACTAGCATTGGTAGACAATACCGCAGTGCAGATAGAAGGTGCTACAACTATTTCAACACCTGTTAAAATGGTGACTACCAATCAGAATCTTACGTGCAATGCCCGCTAAATCTAAACTGAGCCAGTTACGCGGTTATTCAATGCTAGTTATGCCGATTTGCACTAAGCAATCCACACCTATGTGCCTTCCCACCAAACTCTATGACGAGATGCCCTAAGCAAGTGGTTCCCAAAGTTGTCTGGGCTACGACTCATCTAATACAAGTTCCCAAACTCGGGACCCACCAGGAAATTTCGCCCGCTGCCCAGCGGATCGGTAAGGTGGTGTGTCGTTCTATAGACAGGGCCCGCTCAATGTGTAAGTAAACCCATAGTTTGGGAAACTAAGCCCTAAGCAATCGTGTAATTTGCACTGTCCTCGACCATAGGAGGAGTTCGAAGTTAAGGAAAGACAGACTAGTAACTACTGGTAGAAATATACAAAAGGGTACTCACATCATTTCATGGCCATGGAGTCGTAGATGTTGAAGTCATCGAAGCCTTCAGCATCGAACGCTCGCATCTGCTCGAACAACTCGCTGTCCATGAAAGTGGACTCGGTGGGAGCAGGAGTGGCCGCGCTGAAGCAGCTGTGGTCCAGTGTTTGTGGTACGAGTGGAGTGGTTGTGGTGTATTTGTGATGGGGGTGTTTTAAAGTGTTTTTTGTGCAAGTAGTTTTAATTTAAATGTTTGTGGTGTGAGTGAAATAGTGGTGTTTATCGTTCAAGCGGAGTGAAGTGTGGTTCAAGTGGAGTGGAGTGAAGTGGTTGTGGTGTAAGTGGAGTGAAGTGAAGTTTTTGAAGTATTTGTGGTGCAAGTGTTTTGGAGTGGTGTTTTCGTGATTCAGGTGTTATGGAGTTGAGAGTTTATGGTAAAAATGTTATAGTGCAAAGCGTTGTGATAACATATTTTCGATTGTTTTTTGCGGTTTTGTAATATGCGAGAGGTTTGCGTTTTATGTGTGTATTGCAAAATTATTAATTATATGGGTGATATTTTTATATGTATTTCGTTGTGTGTTTGTGTGTGTAGAACCGTCGTCGAAGAGTCACAGGATCGGGAAAGAAAGAAAATGCAACACATTAGTGGTACGGTCGTGAGACAGAAACATTCCTACGTCCTCTCGCCAAAATGTCAGCACAGACAATGCTAGCTCAATTACAAAGCGAATTTAAACTTTACATTACAACTTAAATATAAAAAATACTACAAAAATCTGAAACGACCGTCTGTGTTGCATTTTCGCGATAGGTTTGTGTTGTTGGAAAAAATGTCTTGTGGTAAATTAATAAAAATAATTTCCATAAATAAAATAACTGCTGCGGAAAAATAACGCGAAGCGGTGGTATACAAAATGTCAAATTTACTGCCAACAGTCGCTGTATAGTCAGTATCAAATAGTTCGTGTCACCCAAAGTAGACAAAAAGTTCGAAACACGTCTTTGTTACATTGGAATAAAGTTGTGTTGTATACTTTTTGACCACTTTGGGTGGTGCGTATTTGAAGCTGATTGTACGCAAGCATTTATTACTTTATTTATTTTATTTTACTTTAATTCCTTGGAATAAGTTTCATAATTTATTGAGGAATTTGTTTGAAGTTGACGAGCTGGCTGTTGTCAGACACCCACCGCTTCGCTACTTGCATTTACTTACATTTTTTCCAACGTAACAATAAAAAGATACAATTTTGAAATCTCACATATAATTGTATACAAATACATTGAAAACATACATACATCCAACATTGTCATGTATAGTCAAAGATCAGTTATGTAAAAACATCGATCACCTTGTATCTGAATTATCTGAAAACTAGTCTATTGATAACATTACAAATTGAATCTTTAAACAGTTATTTCAAGACACATTTTGCAACTACAACACCGATCTACGCGGAGTGATAATTCAATAATTTATAAAACAGTTGTAGATTTCGTAACAGCATTTTAATCACAATATTCGTTGCCTTTGCGTACATTTTAAAAAGCTGGACAAAGACACTAGCCACATATTTGACAACAGGTTTCTCACGTTTGACATCTGTCTTTTTGACAGATGTCAGTTTAACAGCTGTCAAACGAGTATTAAAATATCAGATACAAGGCTCTAACAAATCCGTAAGCGACCGCGAGTGAGGATTCAAATCCCACGAGATGACGTCTTACGCTAAAAATATTAACTAGTCAAAACTCCCAAGAGAAGTTGACAAAAAAGTTGTAGCAAAAAAAAGCCTTGATTCTGAGTTTTAGGCCAGCATCATTATTAGGCATCGCGAATACAGCCGACTGTCTCCGATGCGCGACTCTTGAAGACGGGCAGTCATTAACGTATAATAAGAGTGTCAACATGTCATAACAGCAAGAGGCGCGAGTCGGAGACTGTCCTCGACAGTCGCTGATCGTCGCTTACGACTATCGCAAGCAGTCGCAGACATAATATCGTTCGACTGTGAGCTCTCCAAGTCCCAGAACAGACGGAGAAACGCAACTGCAACGAAACTGCAACTGCTAGTTACTTTTGAGTTGCATCTAAGTTTCTGCCATAGCGTCCGTTGAGAGACCACACATGACGCGACCAGCTTGAAACTTACAGTTTCAGTTTCATTCTTCAGAATCATCAGAAAGTTGCAGTTTCGTTGCAGTTGCGTTTCACCTTCTGTTCTGGGCCTAAGGGACAAGACTTTTTGTCAATTTCTATTGGGATTATACTTATAATAGTCACATCCATTATTATATAAATTCGTTAGCCAATAACTATACAACTAGGTCTAAATGCGTAAACTTTGACAATTGTAATTGACCAATAAAATATGTCCAACAATTGAATGATCAAGTACTTGTATACTAACACAGCTAAGGCCGATGCCACACTGCCTAGAGCAGGGCATCTAGACAACGCTAGATTCGTTTTCGCTTCGCTGATTTATTACGAAACACTGAGGGGAGCGATTCTCTTGTGACACAAACATTAGATTAATCGTGATTAACATCTTGACAGATTGACATCCGTCATTTATAGCTCGATTTCTAGTATACAGGGTGGAAACGATAAGTGATCTCATTCGATTATTTCTAAACTATACAAGATATTGAAAAACTGGTTACAGATCCTGAAAGTGCTTCACGAGCTCTTTCAAACGGTACCAATAATAGGTTACAGAATAAACTGGAACTATCCGAAAATTCAATGTTTCCAGCTTCCATACTAAATGTATGCCAACCACACAATATTAGAAGTGTTATTTATTTTTTGTTAAATAATAAACTTAAAAAGTCAGTTAAATAAACTCGGAACTTGCATCTTATTTAAAATTATTTGTGGATAAGATTAGTTTTAGGCTTTACTTGCTATAATATTATCAAGAGATGAGTGCCATGACTGTGATAGTACTAAATGTATGGAAGATGGAAACACTGCATTTTTGGATAGATCCAATTTATTCTGTAAGCTATTATTGATACCGTTGGATAGAGCTCGTGAAGCACTTTTAGGATCAGTAACTTATGTTGTACGCTTTGGAGCTCATTATTATTATTGTTTTATTTTATTTTTTATTTTTTTTATTTTTTTCGTTCTATTGATTAGTTTTATAACACAGCATGCCCATACGCCCAAGGCGTCCACTGAAAATCAGTGTCCAGCCATGCATTTAGCTGGCTGGATATACTGAGTGGGCGTCCTTTTTGGCACATCGCCTCTATAGACATTTATAAGTATTATTATTGTTATTGTAATTTTTTTATTTTTATTTCCATATTAATGTCCTGATTTATTGTTTCTTTTTGTGTGCCAAATAAATCATTCTTTCTAACTAGTCATGCGATATCTTGTGTAGTTTTTAATATTATGTAACTTTACCAAATGTATGGAAGCTGAAAACATTGAATTTTCGGGTAGTTCCAGTTTATTCTGTAACCTATTATTGATACCGTTTAAAAGAGCTCATCAAGCACTTTCAGGATCAGTAACCAGTTTTTCAATATCTTGTATAGTTTAGAAATAATCGAGTGAGATCACTTATCGTTTCCACCCTGTATAGATGACCCACGCTGAACTGTCCCACCAAACTCAATGACAGGGGGCGCTACCATCGTTCAACTATATAGTATCCAACACGGCAAAAATCGAAACCAGCGATCCGGTATTGACGGTGGCGCCCCACTGTTAATGTCATGGATAGGACAGTTCAGTATTTTGGAACTATAAAACCATCAGAACAGTATCGATTCCTATTTCAAATAAATACGAAGATAAATTAAGTACTAAGTTACAAGTTAAGTATCCAGTATTTTACCTTAATCTTACTAAGAAATTCGGATGGATGGATTTTCTTCGAATATTCAAATGATCAGAAGCTATTGGGACTAATCCAACCTCTTTACAATGACATATTTCACAAGAAAATCGGTCCCCTATAACGTATGGCTAGCGTGTCAATGAGTCAGTTTTACCATTGCTTCGGTAACGGAGGCTAGGCCACACTACTAGGTTTGGTGTTCCGTTGAATATTGAGCGTATACTCATATAATAACAATATAGTAAAGTAGATTCACACTTTGGATAAGCTCTTGGCTATGTGGCATGGACTTAAGACTTACGCCCGTATTCACAAACGATGCTTGCTTAAGTAAAGTAGCAAATCGAACGCACAGCGTTGATCAAAGCTCTGTGATTGGTTCGTGTCACCCTGTGCGTCCACGCACACTGTGAGACCTCATAGTAACGTTGGTGAATACGGGCGTTATCTTAACCAATTTTCAACCATCTGACAGTTTTTCATCTGTTAAACATCAGATATTATAACAGATAAAGCAGTTTTAAAATTATGCCTACACTAAGATTATAATATTTAATGGAAACAATTATTCACGTAATTATATTTTTGTGCAATTATATGTATAGCTAGAGAATATATAAATTTAATTAAAAATAATAATAAATTGTCATGATCAAGCTGTACTTAGTGTTTAAAATAATTAGCACCGAATTTACAAAAGAACAAACGAAAATTTTCTCATAAACGTATTTTGATAAACCAAAATGCGCATGAAAAAAAATCGTATTGTCAGAATCAACGTTTGCGACGGAAACTTAAAACTAATATTACCTTAATCGCAAAACTACGCCAAAATATCTTGTTTTTTTTTATCTCCCTACTTTTTTTCGCACACAGAAAAAAGAGATGTCTTATTATTCCTCATTATTAATAATTGTAACATTAACATTTAATATATCTAAATATAATTAAAATATAAGAGAAATGCGTTTATGTGGACCCGAAAATTACAAAAGAAACTTCGTTTTGTTTTCAACAATTGTAAAACAACGAAGAATTAAGTATATGTGCTCATAAAGGAGTTTATATAAAATAATTATAGAAGGACGGTTGTTCGATGATGGATTTTATTCTAAATTGATTATAATTAATAAGTAGAACCTTACTTTGGCATTTTCTAGCCCGAATGAGACCTAATTATAATAGTTTTGCAATGCTGTCACAATTTTTTAAAATATTACATTTTTAAAAGATTGCCGGCTAGATATATTTTTGATTCACCTATGCGAACTTTGTTCATTCTTTTTTCCA